TACCCCCGGTTGAATTTGAATAATTCTTTCCAACCTCAACAAAAGCACACAAACCATCCTAGTACTCATCAGAGAACTTATTCCTTAAATGTATCCAACTCTTGTCCATAGGCATCTCCACTATGAAGAATTTATAACGTTTTATCAAATTTTATGAAAATTAACATTAGTTTATTTTATTATTTTATTATTAATGTAAAACTAATTAAAATTTTAATTTGATTTTTTTAATCATCAGATAAACTTTATACAAATTTCAATCTAATGACCACATATTCCAATTCTAGTTCTAATTTATAACTCACAATTCTAAATCTACAACTACAAACTAAATTCAAAACCTAAAATAAAACCACAAACCACAACAAATACCAAAATCAATTTACAAAATAGTAAAATATTAACTCATAAAATCCAAACCCACAAACAACGAGGGTTGGAACACAGAAAGGCAGCAGGGAAGGGAGAGTGTCGGCGGCCAGAAAACGATGAGCACGGCCGGAAAAGTGGGAGGGGAGGGGGAGATGAAAACTCCGCTTTTCTAGACTTTTTTTTCTCCACAAATGAAAGATTTGAGGAGAGAATGATATATTTAAGCTATTTTCAGTGTTTTTGGACAGTTTTTGGAGGTTTTGGACGGAGAAAACGCGAGAGCTCACCGGAAAAAATGGCGGAAGGAGATCTGCGATCGCGTTTATACAGGTGACTTTTGCGACGACATATGTCGTCGCAAAAAATATTAAATATTCATCGCAATTAATATAAAAACAATGTCGTTCTTCTTCACTTCATTAATATTTCTGAGAATATTCTTGAGAAATATACCCGTGCTCATTTTTTACGACGACTTTGTTAAAATGTCATCGCAAATATTTTTAAGGAAACCGCCAAACTTTCCGCCCTTTTTTTGGAGAAAATTAAATCCCCAGTTATTTGTGATGACATTATTAAAAAAGTCGTCGCAAAAAATAGTCGTTTTTGATAGAATTTTCTGGAACCATTTTTTGTGACGACACATGTCGTCGCAAAAACAATCATTCTGAAAAGAATTTTCTAGAACCAATTTTGACGACGACTTTTCAATATGTCATCACAAAAAATAAAGAAATATCTGGAACCTATTTGCGAGAAACCGCTAAATTTTTTACCTCTTTTTTGTCACGTCACCGCCAGCTGTAAGTATCAATGTCGCCGTAAATAATGGACAAACTGGCCCCAAAATTGTTGGCGTCAGATTGGTTTTGGCGCCAATGGTATTAGTGACGACATATCGTCACGAATAATTTTTCAAATTTTAGCGACGATGTCGTCGTAAATATTAAAATTATGTGCAACGACATGTCATCGCAAATAGGGAATATGACGACAAGTCATTCAAAAATTCTGTTTTTTTTTTTTTCCAATGGCGTGTCGTTGCTAATATTGTAATTTTAACAACGATAAATGTCGTTACTAATAACCTTTTTGTTGTAATGACAGGTCACCGATGGATTTGTAATTTGTTTTCTCAATTTAGAAAGTAAATAAGAACAGCAAGGATATTTGAAATAATTCCTTCTGAAAATAACCAGAAATAAAAATATTGATAAGTACTGTAGACTATTAATCTTGTGAATGGAAAGAATGGATAAAGCAGATGATTAGTTCCGATATTTTGGCCGGAATTTTATTTCCCTTAAAAAGTGTGTCTTCCTACTTTTTTATGTTGCAACCGAAAATATTATTGTTCATAGGGATATATATAATTGTACACCAGAAGATATTCGATTTTTTTTAATTTCCATTTTCCTTTTTTTAAAATCGTAATATTTTTTGTCAGCTAGCACTTAAGTACGAAAGGCATCATAGCTATCTTTTATAATGCTTTGATCTTGATGATGTGGTGTGTGTGTATATATATATATATCAACGAAAAGAAAAGGGGAAATGGATATGATTTGTAATTCGCACACTTATGCAAAATATATATATATATATGTGTTTTTTAATTTGAGGGTCGGAATTTAAATATTTTGTATCATACAACCACATATAATACCCTTTTTTTACTATTTTTTCATTTTTTATTTGAGTAATACCTTTTTTCATTAGTTGGAGACTATTAAATGGCGATTATATTTAGTCAAAGACTCCACTATTTTTGCCGAAAATCTTTTTTTTTCTTTTTTTTCTTTTGGAAACATTGCGGAAAATCTTATTGATCCTTCAAAATTTTCAATATTTTTACTGAAAAATGATGGTTAGTGATCTTAGCACGGTTAGTTAGAATTATGATCGCCCAAAAAAAAAATTTTGTAAATAATATATTTAAGAAACTAAATTAAGTAAATACTAGATTTACTATGCAAATGATTCATTTACGACTAATAAAAAATAATTTACGTGGTTACAAATTTTTATTTACGTGGAAAAAATCTTTTTACTATTTGTAAAAAGAGAATTTATGTGAATTTTTTTTCCTAGTCTTAAATAAAATATTCACATGGTGAACTGTTATGCACTTTAAATAGTTTTAAAATCCACTATTTATTTCAATTATTTTTTATAAATCTACTATTTACTTCATTCTTAAAAAAAATAATTAAAATCGAAGAAAAAATATATTTTTTTTTAAGGAAGAAAAAAGATTTTTTTTTAGGTAAAGAAAAAAGTTTTTTTTTTTTAAATAGAAGGAAAGAAGAAAATTTTGTAGGTCCAAGTAATCTCTTCTTTCTCTAAGAAGGTAAGCAATATATCAAATTATTGATGAATATTTGTACTTTGAAAAGCTCTCACAAGGCCATATACCTTTAAAACATCCATGTGGAGTCCATGTGGAGAATTATTATCATTTTTTTTTCTCTCTCTATTTCTGCTGCTTCTTCTGGAAAAAAGCAAATTCCCATGCCCTAAATTTTCTTTCGTATGGGACCCATTTGCACACTCAGCATCAGCATGTTTTCCGGATCCTGCTAATTCCCTTCTTTTTCTCTTACCTCAAAAAATCATTCTTCTTTTTCTTTTTGGTCATCCCATCATCTTCATCAATTTCTTCTTCTTCTTCTTGTCGAATTAATAAAAATCAATCTAGTTACATCAGCCATATTCATTTTACTAATTTAAGTTTAAAATTTGAGTTTTTGTTACAGTAAAAAACTCTAAAAAACAGTCACATCTAACTTTTTTATTACAATAAAAAGTTTTCACATCAAGTTGCATCTCAACTCGAATTAAAAACTCCAATCAGCGAACTAAACATGCCCATTATAGCAAGACTAAAACCAATCCACATTATTACTACAATATTTTTGTACGTGTCAATATTAAAGACCTCAAATTAGCCCTATAAAGTGATTTGTACAATTCTATATTTTTCTCCTTTTCTTTTTATCTATGATTGAATTTTCAACTGCTAATACACATTAATAATTCACATTCACTAACAAAACTATTAGCTTCACGTTTTCAGTTGTATTATTCATGTACATATGTTTACATACACAAACACACGTTACATTTTTGTTGGAACACTACTACGTGTGCAGAGGAAAAACTAGAGCCCCCTTGAGGTATCATATGTTCATTATTTATCTTTCACCTTACAACTAAGCTAACTAGATTTTGTTAGTCCAAATAAGCAACAATTAAATGTAGTAAAGACACTTATCAATAACATATATTTTTTAATCACTACCAAATTAGCTAAAAGAAGTATTGAGGAAAAAAAGGAAATAGTAGAAAGTACAAAATACTACTCCATGGTATTGATCAACCACTTTTTCGTTTCAAAATAGTTACTAATTAGTTATTGAAAAACGTCAACACTGTCTCCAGCTATTCTTTTATTCCATTTGGTTTTTGAGACGAAGAGGTAAATGTAAACTTTTTGGGTCACACAAACACCGGTATATGCACTTTTGATGTCATTTATAAGAACTATCTACTTTTAGTTAAAATGAGAATTGATTAGTCACATGTATTTGACACGGCAACTAAATTAAAAGAAGTTTTATTTAGTAGTTTTTTTTCAAATAATTTCCTATTTAATAGTATATCAACCATATATGAAGCCTGAAACGGCTATGTTTTATTTTGTTTTTTGTTTTTCGTTTTTTTTATTTTTTTCCCATGCTTTGAATGGGGTGTGAGAGGTGTGAGAGCCACTTCACCTAAAGCTGTTCATGCATATTTTACTAATAGTCACACAAATCATCATTTCATAGTATGCATGAGTAGGAACAACAAAGTCAAATGCTGTTTCATGCAGGCCCCAATTCCTATATAGAAATGTATGTTTTTAAGACTTGTCACATTGCTTTGTCATGTGGGCGTGGGTAAAAATTTAGAGTTTAGCCAAATTCTGTGTTAATATAATATACACTGGAGAGTTTGACAAATCTTATTTGCAAAATCCTTGTATTCTTTCTCCCATCACCTCTAACCTCCTCCTCATCAAAGAGGGGGCCACAGAAGGATTCATGGAACGCCATTAAGTGAGGCTTTTGTTTGTATTCATAACAAGTTACAATTGTTAGGTTTGCATTACATTAAGGGGACCTTTATCTTTACACTACCGAATCCTATCACGCAATATATATATATATATATATATATGTATAAGTAATATAGGGACACTAACTCTAATTTTAATTATTTTGTATCAATTTATCACTTTTATTAGTAAATATAGCTGTTATTTATTATTAATTGATGTGAAAATCTTTTAAAAATAAAAAAAAAATGCCAAATCACATATAACGTAAGGTGATAAAAAAAAAAGGTGTGATGAGAGTTAGTGTCAGTATTCATATATATATATATATATATATATATTGTTATTTTAATCTCTAGGTTTTTTGGCGCTGGTGGGCCAGGGACACCCATGTGCTTGCATGTGCTGTGTCTTTCTCTCAAAGGCCCACCACTCCATGTCTCCTCTCTCCTTTAATCACATATATTGAGTTTCTTGATCTTCTTTCTCTCATTCTTCTTAATTACTCTCTCTCTCTCATATATACACACACACACACACACACATATTCTGATACATACACATTTCTTGGATCTGTGAAACTACTTCACTCTGCAAAACTTGTCTCCAGCTTCACATACTTCTAATCATTATCTTTCATCTTACTCAGTAGAAGAATTCAAATATTAATTAAACAGGCAGGTACGTACACTTGATTACACAGATATATTTTGTAATTATTCCTACGTTTTACATAAAACCTAGCTAGCTAACTAATGCTTTTTTTCCTTTTCTTTTCTAAAATTAACAAGCTTAATTATTATTTCTCTTTCCTTTTCGTAGAATGCAGAATTTTAGCCAACTCAAGCAAGAATTCCTCAAGAAATGGCTAAAAGGTCTCAAAATATGCAGCTCTCCAAGCAAGAAGATGGGAATTTTGGAGAGAAAGAACGCCATAAAGCTTTCTGCAGACTTAGCAATGGCGTTCGCAAGAAAAGGTAGGACTTATTGGAGCCGAGCGGTCATAGCCAAAGCTTCTAGAAACAGTAATAATGACATGACGCTTATAAAGAATGCCTCTAAACAAAGGTTCTTTCAAAGCAAGAAAATAATGAAGAGAAGCCAAAATGTCCATAGAGTACTGTTGAGGAATAAAAGTTTGTCCCGAAAGGTTCTTCCGAATTCGATGGCGAAGAGATTGGTTAAGAAAAGAACACAAGTCTTGAAACGTCTTGTGCCTGGTGGTGATCAGTGCCTTGATGAAGTCTCTTTGATGAGAGAAACCCTAGATTATATCATATCTTTGCGAGCTCAGATTGATGTAATGCGTTGTCTTGCCGGGGCCAAGTAAGACTAATGGCGCTTAAGTCCTTATTATAATCTTTATTAAAAGTCTTTTTTTACTTTTATTTTTCGATATCTTTTTGTTTTGTTCCATTAATGTGACTAGATCATGATATGAAGGAGAAAAGAAGCTGGGTATAGAGTTAAGGCAATGTACAGAGATATGCAATCATATCAGTAAGTCAAATGAAATTAAAGCTTTAGTTTATTCATACCAATTTTTGCAAAGCGCGTAATCGATGTGAAATACTATTTATTTTGTGCTGTCTTCGTATTTCTTCTGTTCTCGGTGCAAATAAAATCAGAAACAGATTTTTTTTTCGAATACCAGTTGCTTCTTCTCTTCATTAAAAGAAAAAAAAAAAAAAAAAAAATTTCCCTTGACAAGCAAGCACGAAGGAAACTAAGTTGAAAAACAAAAAAAAAAAAAAAACAAAAAAAGAATTAGCTGATCTCTTTCAAGCACACTAGCGAGTGTGAGAAGAAGAGGCTGAATACTAATAGAGGAAGTACATGAGTCCTTATGTATTACCAATAAGTGGATGAATCCCTTTTGTTTTTGTTTTTCTCTTTTTTTTTTTTCTTTTTCTTTTTTTTTTAATTTTGGCTTATACTCTTCACTACTTGTTTTGGCTAAACAATTGAGATGGGTTTAGTGCACTATGGACGGCAATTTTATGCTCAATAGAGAAAGTTGGTGTATTTCAACTACATAACATAACAATATTACAACGAAAGGCCAAACTGCACACACCCGTGCAACTTTTGATTTGACCAGGTCACACGATTGTAGCTAGTTTGTATTTATGACAGAAAGGAAGAAAGATAACAAAAATGCTTCCAATGATCCCTTACTATGTGAACAGATATATATATATATATGGGTGTGTAGATATATGTATATATATTTACATAATACATGCATAGATACAAACATGTTTATGCGTATAACTATTATTATTTAATATGCTTATAGTTTCATATGTACCCTAATTTTTTGTAAATTCGAAATTTACCAAGTCATGGGTACTTATGTCGAAAAACAAGTGCTTTTCTTTTTTCTAAAATAAATAAAGAGAAGAAACAACTAGCATCAAGCGGTTAGAATTTAGGTGTTAAAAATTATTATGATCGAGCAATTCTTGGGAGTGCGAAACATAGGCTAAAGTTATTTGTCTCCCACTTTGATGATTCTCTAATTATTCTATAACTAGATGTTATTTGCACACCAAATATTTATTGTGTTTTTTTTTCAACGTGACAATGTGAAAATTCGACCTATAGTTAGATCTTAACTTAAGAGGTTGACATATTACCATCAGACTAAACCTACAATTACAATATTTATTGTTTATTCATTGTATATATATCGTAATGATTTTTGTTTATATGTGTATGTATGTGACCCATGCTATATATATATATATATATATATATATATATATCACTGGCCTGCCTAAATATTGATGGAGATTCAACATGATGTGATGATATGTCAATATGCATCTCCATATTTAAGTTCATGATGGGAAAGGCCGTTAGGATGAATATGGAATAGCAATGGTTTTGAAATGGACAACACAACGGTCGTCCATGCGAGCATGTCCACAGAAACTTATAATTCAGAGCTATAAAGCAGTTAGCAGTTGGAGAAATCGTAAAAGAAAGCAAAAGATTTCGGCAAAACTACGACATTATTGTCTGGACATGAGTAAAATGTTTTGGTACGTATAAAAGTTTGTCGACGGATAAATAACCAATATCTAAGATGCGGATTTTCCGGGGGAAAAAGTTATAGCCGTATAATTTCAATAATTTAAGAACATATTTTGGAGCTTTAGGTATTACAAATCAAAATGTCCTTGCCCTTAAACAAAAAAATAAAAAATAAAAAAAGGGCCCCATTATTTGGAGTTTTCATATCACTCGTTTGACTTTTAGAACATTTGCGTGTGTTTCAATGAAATGATCTGTTCTGTTAGAATTGATCAAGCAATTACCGTAAGGAAAAAAAAAAAAAAAAAAAAAAAAAAAAAAAAAAATACAAAAACAAAAAAAAGAAAGGGGCCACTTTTTTGTGACAAAGTGGAAGAAATTGATGTAATCTTTAATATTGAATGTCCACAAGCAGATTACGCACGGACTAAGATTTTCAATCTATCCGACGTCTAAAAATCAACATTCAGAGCTTCTCATGAAAATTTTGAGTGGTCATGGGAATCTATTCGTCAAGAGTTTTTCTAGTGTTCTTCAAGAAGCTTCCGTCATGTTCTTTAAGACGGAAATGTTTCATTGTTCATCACTTAATTCCCACTAATTTCTAGTAGTATACTACTGCAGACGCGCACAAATAAATTTCCTTTTTTCTGATGCTTTTGGAATGTAATTTCATCATTGTTGGCGGCATCTTATTACAAAATAATTGAAATTTACTAACCCGTAATAATCATTACTGGTTTTCTATTGGAGTTATATTTATCACGTGAAGATGCCTGAATATCCTTAAAAAGAATCTATAGGTTCTACATCAAGCGATCGTGGATTATTAATTACTTGAAAAGCGATGAATATTACTAAATATATGTGGGGATGAGAATTGAATTAAGACCGAAACGATGCTGTTTAAGACTTGATGGGAACGACAGTGTTTAATAAAAGAAGAAAAGAACTTAGATCACGCGGACGATTTAACTCTCCGGGAGTTTAGACCGCACGGAAGAATTAAATGATCTTTAGACCGAGAAAAGAAGCTCACGTGGATAAAGCTTCAAGGTAACAAATTCTGAAGAAAGAAATAGAAACCTACAAATACCTGTACCCCAACGAGAAAGGGATCTTTTTCGCCATTTTGAGAATTTGTTACTATAATCTAGAGAGAGAAAGTTCTAGTGAGAGAAAGAGATGAATTCTTGAGAATCTTGCGAGGAATCTTGAGAGAAATTCTTGAGAATTCATTGAGTATTGGAGTTGAGGCAGATTTTGACCCCAACAACATAGCGCCATCTGTGGGAACTCTTCGTTTAAAAAGCTAGATTGTGAAGCACTAATGGCGTGAAGAGGCCGCGGAAAGAATTTGACTGAAGGACAATAAACTGAATCGACATCACAACCAGGAGCATCAGCTGCGAGGATGCCAGAGGATTGGATGCAAGCTATCCAGACTCTAGTAAGCAAACAAGAACAAACAGAAAAAATGTTCAAGATGATGGTTGGACATTAGAAATTGATGAAAGAGGAGTTTGGAAAATGCAAAAAAAAAAAAAAAAAAAAAAAAAAAAAAGAGAGAGAATGAGAAGTTAAACGATCATGTCCAGGAGATCAGCAGACAGCCAAGACAATTGCAAGAGTTCGGACTCCTGTTTTAGTTTGGTCGGCGTTCCGCCACGTGCTTAGACATGAAGACTAGTGTCCTGCACTGGAGTAAGGGACAAAGCTCCGAAGTGACAACCGAGCTAGTTTGAAGCAATAAATGTTGTGACAAGAGTTAGGTAGGATAATTGTCCTTACCTCAATAAATGATCATAGGGTATTTATAGTCTCATTGGTGGACCTGAATTTTGTCCATGACCCACCGGGCACCCACAAATACACGTGTACGACTTCGTCGTCGAGTTCTGATGCTAGCCAAGCTATCAAGTTGGCCTCGATGTTCTCAGACTGATAGTCGGCCTCGACATTCTCAGACCTGGGTATTTGGAGGATCAAGTGACTTTTAAACTGCTGAAGTAGCTTGGCCACCTTTGTTTGATATTTGGTCCGGCTATAAGCGCTTCATACTAGGGTCGAGTCGCTGAAGATTCAGATTCGATCCACCTCTAGGTCCCGAGCGAGGTTTAGTCCGGCTATAAGCGCTTCATACTCCACTTCATTGTTAAAGGCTTGGAACTTGAATCTTAAGGCGTAGCCGACCCTATACCCATCAGGTCCGATCAATACCAATCCGGCACCACAGCCCCCCGAGTTGGAAGATTGGTCCACATAAAGATTCTAACCGCTCCGGTCAATACTGTCTTGTCAAGGGCCCAAGCTTGTGCTCAGGTCTCCATGTGTGAGTTGGGTTGTGCCTAGTTCTCCTCCTGTGAACTCCGCCAAAAAGTCTGCAAGGGCCTATTCTTTTATTACGGCCCTCAGATTCTGCAGTACTTGGTGCGAAGGATGCTTGGTCGGGACCTGACTAGGATATCCTCGGAAGTTAAACCCGAATAGGGTGTTCTAGCAAGTACGGCCTTAACTTCCGTGCCATAGTGACCAAAGCTAGGGCTAGTTTTTCAAGGGGAGAGTACCTCTCCTCTGCACGTTGGAAGGCTTTGCTAATAAAATAGATTGGTCTTTGTACCCGATCTTCTTCCCAGACAAGGACAGCACTCATCGCCTTCTCTGATTCAGCCAAATACACCAACAGTGTCTCCCCGGTCCTAGGCTTGGAGAGAAGCGGTGGAGTTGTTATGTAAGATTTGAGGCTTTGGAAAGCTCGTTCGCATTCTTCGCTCCGTTCAAACTTTCCTTTCAGTGTTCGGAAGAAAGGGTGACATTTGTTAGTCGACTGAGCTACAAACCGGGATAAGGCCGCGATCATTCCAGCCAACTTCTGTACCTTTTTAACTGTTCTCAGCGAGTGTATATCTAGGACCACTTGAGACTTTGTCAGATTGGCCTCAATACCTTATAGATTGACCATGAATCTGAGGAACTTACCGGATTCTACTCAAAACGCGCACTTAGCAGGATTTAACTTCATTTTGTATTGTCTTAGGATGTCGAAACATTCTTTCAAGTTCCTCACATGGTCTCTTGCTCTTAAACTTTTTACAAGCATGTCATCTACGTACACTTCCATGCTTCTTCCAAACAAGGGCTCCAACATCTAGTTCACTAACCGCTGGTACAAAGCTCTGACATTCTTTAACCCATACGGCATAACACAAAAGTAGTAAAGCCCTTGGTCGGTTGTGAATGCAGTCTTTGCTTAATCTGCCTCATTCATCATGATCTGATTATAACCTGAGTATGTGTCCATGAATCTAAGAAGCTTGTGTCCTGCGGTGCTTTCCATTAGTTAGGCTATCCTTAGAAGTGGAAAATAGTGCTTCGATCGAGATTTATTTAGGTCAGTAAAGTCTATACAGACACGCTACTTCCCGTTCACTTTTTTCATAAGGACAACATTGGCCAACCACTCTAGATACTTAACCTCACAAATGAGACTAACTCTTAGCAACTTCTAGACTTCTTCATTTATCGTGGTGAGTTACTCTAGGTTAAAAGCTATTATCTTTTGGATCATAGGCCAACACTTGGGATTTACATGGAGTTGGTGACAGATAATCTTCAGATTTATCCCGGGCATGTCTTCATGAGTCCAAGCAAACACATCCTGGTATTCACGAAGGAAGGCTTCAAGTTCTGCTCGGGCTTCCTAGCTTAAGCGGGTACCAATTAAGACAGCCCGTTCTGGGTTCTCAGGATCCAAGTGAAAGGCTTGGAGATCTTCAACAGGAGTTGCTCGGATCTCTTCCTCGGGCAACCGCGGATCAATATCACTGAAATGTTTCACTTCTTCCCCAATTAGGAATTCCATCTTGTCCACTAGGTAGACAACGCTGACATGTTCGGATTTTTTTGGTTCTCGATCCACCGATTCGGTATAGCATTCTTACGCACTTTTCTGTTGTCACCTAAAGTACCCGACCCCCTCAGTCGTAGGGAACTTCATCATCAAGTGATAGGCCGAAACCACGGCTTTAGGGATGTTCAAGGTTGGTCGGCCTAGTATGATGTTATACGCGGATGGTTTGTTGACTACGACGAACTCAACCATCCAGGTGACCTTCTCTGGCCCATCCCCGATCATGACCGGAAGGCTAACCACACCCTCTGCTCTTACACATTTCCCGAAGAAGCCATACAATGGAGTATGGATCGGCATCAACATTGTGCCTTTTACCTTCAATTTCTCATATGCATTGGCAAACATAAAGTCCGTCGAACTGCCATTGTCAATGAGTACTCATCGTATGGTTGTGTTCACCACTTATACTTCACCGACCAGGAGGTCGTTGTATGGATGGAAAAGCCGATCTGCCTCTCGATCGGTGAATGTGATCGGCTGCTCCCCTTGTGGCATATCTTTGAGATGTGCTCAGCCATGTTTATGACTCCCTTCTTCTCAGACATAGGAGCATCGCGAACTAGCGGTGTCTCCGGTAGCCTTTCCTTCGAAGATAGTGTGGATTATATCTTGGACCTCTGCAGCCTCGTTCCTCTGTTCTGTATTATTCCGTAGTTTTTAGGCTCCCTGGTTGTCCTGGCCAGCCACCCGACCAGCTTTCCCTGGGTCAAGGATTTTTTCTGCAACCTTTCGGAGGTGCCCTTTTTGTCTAGACTTATCTATTTAGATAGGAGGTAGGTCGGTGAGCAGACCGCGTCTCAGATCTGGTTTACCGTAGCAACCAATGGAGTGTACTGCTCAAACTTTCCTGCGAGCGTCTTTAGCTTCTCATTACCTTTAACTTTTGGCTTCTTCTGGTCAGATGACTTGCTGACTTGATATGCTCTGACCTTCCTTTTGTTCCTTTTTGCGTCTTGCTTGCTACTATCCCCTTCCATTTCTCGACTCTTCAAATAGTCTGACAGTGTGCTCTCAAAGAGTGGCCAGCATTTGGACGTAGGTCGTCAGTCGATCAAGTACTAGAGCATACAGAACCTTTCGATCATGGAGTCCCTCTCGATATGCATTGATCAGTGTTTCGTCTTCACATGTTCTGACCTTTAGAACAGCCTTTGAGATCCTCTCTATTTATTCCTTCAAACTCTCAATTTTACCTTGTTTAACCGCGTAGAGGTGGGACTGATCCTTTCTTCGAGTCTTGGCTATAAGGAATCCCGCCGACAATACATCGGATAACTGTCTGAACGACCCAATTGAGCCTGATTCTAGGCGTCTGAACCCCTGTCAAGTTCGGCCAGTCAAAGTCAGGTTGAATGCTTTACACATTGCTGCGTCACTTGCAATTTGGAGTAACATATGACCTCTGTAACTCTCGACGTGCTCATCGGCATCAGTTGTCCCGTTGTATGGGGTGATTTGAGGAACCTTGAACTTGCTCGGCATTGGGGCTCTCATTATGCTCCGCGTGAATGGCGAATTCGTTGCTCCTCCGCGTGAATGGCGAATTCGTTGCTCCGACATCTTTGAGACCATCTCTTCAGTTCATTAAGAGGTATACACGTTGCCGCAACCCTCAAAACTTTTGCTCGGCACCCCACCGAGCCTGATCATTATGGGTCAAGCTCGCGATCAGTCGGGTTCCCAATCGACAACTTCATTATTTCTGGACCTGTTTGTTCTTTGGTTGAGGCAATCGAATACAAATGTCCAAGGTTAGGTCAGGGAGAACCTACCATCCAAGCGCCATCCATTCATCTGTCGAGCAGTGCTAACCTGCTCGGATCTCAAATGGTGCCGACCAGTAGACTGGCTCGCCGATGGTTGTGGTTCAGTAGAAGGTCGGTCGTCGTTCGACAGGGTGGATGTCGGGTACGAATATGACAGGTGTAACTAGAGCTTGACATTGAAAGGCATGGGCAAGCATTTGAAGTGTCTCGGTAAGGTTTCAGACTTAGGCTGTGAGCCTTTATGTTTAGGTCTGAGCTCGGGGTCGGGTGGCCTTGGTTCGCTGGCCTCAGCCCCTCCGGCGACCTTGAGGGTTGGGTTTCAGTTCATCTTTAACGTTGTTCTGATCATTAACGAACCCCTGTATGATAAGGTAATATCGAAAAAATTAGGATGCTGGAAAGGCGTGGGGCCCCCCTTCTAGCGCCAAAATGTTGATGTCTAAGCTGACTCAATATCCACATGCTGAGAAGCATGGTGTCAGTCGGTGCTCTGCCACATGCTTGGGCTCGAAGACTAGTGTCATGCACTAGAGTAAGGGACAAGCTTCGAAGTGAGTAGGGCACCGGTGCGGTGTTTTCCAAACACACTCTGACATTCAAGTCAGTCGAGCTAGTTGAGAGCAAGAAATGTTGTGACAGGAGTTAGGTAGGATAATTGTCCTTACCTTAATAAATGATCATGGGGTATTTATAGTCTATTAGTGGACCTGGGTTTTATCCATGACCCACCAGGGGCCCACAAGTACACATGTACAGCTCTGCCTAACGTTATGGCAAGTGTTGCACATCAATGAGAGCGTACAGTATCCATCCAACGGTTGAGATCGATTTGTTGTGCAGATTATGTAACGCCCCGAAGAATTAAATGAGATTAGTTATGGTAATTGAGATTTATTAGTGTGCCTGATCTGAATTAATTAATTTGTTATTAAGTAATAAATGTTTCTGACATGTAATTTGAGTAATTCCAAGGTATTTAAATATTCTCAGCATTTATATTTTTACCTAAAAGTGTGTATGGGCACATTTCTGGACTGTCATTTTAAATATTAGACACCTGTCTATTTTCTTTTTCTTTTTCCTTTTTCCTTCCTTTTCTTTTTCTTTCCTTTCTTTCCTTCCCGTGCACTTTCTCTCTCACTCTCTTGTTCTCTCACACTCACACACTCTCTCTCTCCCGTTTTTGTTTCAAAATTAACCGGATCTCGAACCAAAGAGGAATTTCAAAGAGTTTTCAACGTCAAGAGAAGGATTTAAGGTAAGATCTCTGGAAAACCTCTCTTGAATCTCAAGTTTTTCAGATTTCAAAACTTATTTTGGTTCAAAATGGATTTTGATGGATTTTGACTAAAAACATGGTAAAAATTGGAGATCTTGGGTTCTTTAGACTTAATTTAGTATCTAGAACCCGGATTCAAGTGTTGTCCCTTGAAATATTATGATTTAGGACTTGATTTGCAGGTTTTCAAACTGATTTTGTGAGTTTTCGAGCACTGGTGTTCTTCACCGGTCGACCTATACGGTCGACCGGATTGCATTGGCCTGACCGGTCGACCGGATTGCACACCACCGGTCGACCAGTGGTGTTACACTGCTCTGTCACCGGTCGACCGGTGTACACGGAGTTTGATCCCGTTTGGCCTGAAAATGTTGTTTTGACCTCTGTTTTCGAGGAGAACCCAAATTAGCTTCGTTTGGGGACCCAGAATGAATGGATTAGCATCTTTAATCCATGTTTTGAGATTGAAAACTCTTAGAATGATTATTTGAAACATGAAAAGGTTTGTGAAACCAGTAATTGAATTATGGCACACTAATAGGAAATCTTGGTATATAATTGAGATTGAATTACTTTAGGAATGAGAATTGAATCCTAAAAGTGATGTCCTGTATCAGTGTTAGTTGAGGACTTTGATTGAGTGGCTTGAGGAAGCGAAAGCCAGAATAGTGCGCCGCTAGCCACAGGTTTGATAATTACGAGGTATGATTCCTATCCCTTTTCTTTGTGAGCCTGTTTTCAAAAAGGATTTTGGCCTTGCAAATGTTTTAAAGAAAAGGGGCTTGTTTGCGAAAGAAAACTATTTAAAACCATGGCTTGTTGTAGTTCATGGTACCCATGGCTTGTTGTAGTACATGGGACCATGGCTTGTTGTAGTTCATGGGACTCATGGCTTGTGTAGTTCATGAGATTATAACGAACGATTTCATAAAGTTTAATGAATAATTTCTTAAGATAAGAGATCTTGTGAATCGATAAACTGGCTTATGGCCAAGATAAGATGTGGAGAGTGCATCCTTAGGGACAGGATCTGAAACCCCGGGGGTATGGCTTGTGCACGTGGTTGTGTAAGTGATTTATCATAGTATAAATTACTTGCTGATGCCTGTAATACATATATATTTTCAGATATATTTTCTTTAAGAAAAAGGATGTGAGGTTCCGGCTATTGTGTCGGGACTGAATGTCTTATTTTATTTACTTCTCCATTTATTTATTTACTCGCTCATTTATTTATTCATTTATTTATAAAGTTATTTCAAATTATATCCTACTGGGCCTTTCGCTCACGTTTTCTATGTTTCAAATGTATTAAACCCCTCTCAGGTGACTCTAGGAGCGGTGCAGAGTAGCTGGATTATTTGCTTCTGTTCGATCAAGTGAAGATTGTGTTCATCCTCTTGAATATATGTAAGGATTTGTAAACTCTGATATTTGAATTTCTAGACTGTGGATGATGTCTGTAATGTTTTATTTACATGTCATGTATGTACGTGATGAGATCCTGTGGATAGATCCTGTGTTTAGTACAGTGTGAGAGGCTTGAGTTTTAGTCTCTCCCTTGTGATTTATTTTAGTTAAGTGTGGGGCTCGTTGGAAATTTCCTTTATTATCATGCGTTTAACCCCTAATCGAGCTCCATGTCACCGACCCCCGCCCGGGGGCGTGACAGATTATTTATTATGGTATGGAGTCACCGAGCAACAATGTTCGGTGATAGGCCTACGGGAATTATGCTCAGCCCACCATTAAGTTAATTAATATAGTCGAACATTAGATCCGGTACCGGAGAAAAGCTCGGCCATATCACAACGTTTGAGAACTCATCAGGGACTTGTTCGACCATACAACTTGAACAGTGCTCGGCATGTGTTCAGCTTGCGTTGCCGAGCTACCTCCCAACTGGGAGTATGCAAACAAAGTACTTGCCTTTCTTGAGGTAACTACATGTTAAGGAAATATATTTCTTCTCTCTCATTCATGATGTGCATATTTACTAACTTTACACGCGAATAGAAAAATACTTTGCATGTTCTTAAAAAATACCAAAACAGAAAGAGAAAATGGAAAGAACATAGTACTTAGTGGTCTTACATGCGCAGAAGGTTTCTTGCAGATTAAGCTAATATTATCCAACATGCGTTTTAAAAAAGTCAAAAGAATTGGAATCTATACATAACCACTCTTTTAATTGTGGCTCTTTTCTTCTTTTTCAACTACAGTTGAAATGCGTATTGGTTTGATCCTACTGATAATTGTAGGATATACGAAGAGGCTAAAGAAATGTAGTGTGAGTTGATTGAGATGCGAAAACATATTTCAGCCAAAGGGATTCTTATCCAAGATTTGATGACTGGAGTCTCTCATGAATTGGAAGAGTGGAACCAACGTGGTGTAACTTTAACACCCAAGAACCTACGCAAGACCCTAAGAGTGTTGAGCTCGAAGATCCCACACCTATTAAAGTAGATAATCACGAGATATTTTTGGAAAATATTGATATTCTCTTGGCTAAACATAAAGTAGAATAAGCATTGATATTCTCTTGGAAAATATTGATATTCTATTGGAGGCTTTAGATGCTGAAGAGAGTCGGTTTTAGATCCCAAAGTCAAATGTGCGTACATAGTCGGTTTAGTCACGTCAACTAGTAGCAAGAGGTTGACCGGTCATAGAGCCTTTATAAACTCATCAGTCGACCGGTGAGTGACACAAAATAGCCCAAAAAGTTACGTACTAGTCAATCGTCCCCGCGTAACCGGTCGATCAATGCATGTTCTGAATTGCTTGTTTCTCAAGGTATTCAATACGAAAAACTTACATAAAGCCTCAGTTTTAATTCAAGCAACCCAATATAGAAATTACCTTATCAAAACAGTCATATATTAGTCTTCTCGTATTTAATAAAACTCAAAACAATAATTCAACTAATTTATCTAGAATTAATTTAACAATTAATTCACCCAATAAATTACTTAAGAATTAATCACTGGTCTCATATTTGACTTTAAACCTTTAGTGGAAATAACATAACTTACCAATATGTAGGAAAACACCGTGTTGTATCATGAAAGTATATGAGCTAGCAAAAGGACCCGATGGACATATATAGATCAAGCTCCTATAATTACGGCAGTTCTTTTTAATCGACAAGTTCATCGCATGATTATAAACTCTAGTGCTACTCCACAAAAAGCTTAGAGTTACACTCTCGATCTACAAAGGTCTGAATAACTCTCGTTCATGACTCATTATATTAGTGTATCATCCTCATATGATATCCATAATTGACTTGAGGTTAAATTCTGTTTTACCACCCAATTATTTTTATCTTATGTTCCAGCATCACTCTATCGAAATAACTACTATTCGCACTGATACAAATAGTAAATCATTAGATAACACAAAGTAGTATAATGGTCAAGCGCTCGTATTTTCTAATCCATGGATAATGCCATAAAAGGATATCATTGACTCTTTATAGGAGTTATGGATACCTTATCTATGAATAATACACACAAGAGTAATACCCTAAATGTACCGGTAAACATATATTTACATAATGTCAGGATGTCTTCTTTTGGTACATCAAAAGATACAAGTCAAGTATACGGGTTTATTATTCATCTCAGGATTAAGATGACCGCATATAATTCGTCAAAAGTGAATTTTTTTTTATTCAAACGGAATTATTAATTAAAATAATTCAACTTTGGTCCAATCCAATATAGATTCCACCACTAGGAACTATATCAATGTCTCTACCCGTGGAATCCCACCTCTGACGACCAAGACAAGCCGTCTTCATTAGGAAGTAGACAACATAACAATCTTAACATGAACAAAGCGTCCAACTTTATTCACTCGATTGCGGATCATATATTTAAACTATCATCTTTAGATTCATGTCTTCTGTATGTTCATCTCATTACATGCACGACCTAAAGACTTATAACGACAGTCTTGGACTTCGAGTTTGTTTATCATACATTCAACTAATATGAACGTAAAGAAGACAATATACATAGATATATGAAAAAAAATAAATTTTTGTTAATAATCAAAATGTCTCAAAAACATTGTTACATATATTTCTAAAGGCATAAACGCTAACACTTGGATCGGTCCTTAGTTGAGACAGCAAAGGCGATGAGAATTTGGAATGACAATGGCTTGGGTGACACAAATGATTGTGTGGTTAAAGTTAGATTGTGGCTCTAGATTATACAGTGCTAGGTGAAGTAGAAGACAACTTGGGCTTGCACGACACTAGGGGAAAGGAATCTGAGCAATGATTATGTAGATGGTGAAACTGTGGGCAGCAACTCTCCATTCAAATTAAATTTGAAAATGAGTTATTGTGATAATTTTTTATTTAGTGTTTTATTATTTAGTTTTAAGAATTTTTATGGTGGAGCATGTACAAGTGGAGTAAGATTTTACAACCATTTAATTGTAATTTGACTGAGAAAGGTCGTGTTGTGTATCTATATCTTCTTCTTATATGTGTACATCATATTGTATCCTCGGCCAAGCCCAACAAAGAAAAGCCAAGCGAGAATGCAGCTTGGATTACATCGGACGAGGCAATGGAAAGAAGAAGATGCCAAGGCTACTAAAAGGCGAGGCGTCGGAAGAAACCCGAAAATAAGAGATAAATATTAGAATATATATTTAAATTCAAATAACTAAATCCTGTATTTTAAGGGATATTTGGAGATAAGGATTAGGCTTCCCTTGTCAGATTAGACTTCAAAATTATCCCTGAAAGGGCTATAAATAGGGTATTTAATAGGAAAAATCCCATATCATCACTGCTATAAATTCTACATTAGACAATACTTATTTAATGACATTTTAAAAAAAATTGTCATCTAATTTGGTGAAAAAACACATAACGAAGATTTTCATGTTTCAAAAATTTCGTACTAAACATTAGACGACAGTTTAGAAACTGTCGTAGATGTTAGACATCAGACGGTGATTTTTAAAAAACCGTCATCTACTGTATACAAAAAATAAGAACAAGAAAAATTTTGAACATATTAGACGATTATTTTTTAAAAACCGTCGTCTAATGTCTAACATTTAGTGACGGTTTCTTAAAAACTGTCGTTAAATGTCAAAATATTTCCAAAAAAAAAAAAAAACGCTAACTTTTTTCTGCTCATCCTTTTCTTTTCAGATTTTGAAACTTCCTCTTTGACTTTTATAATATCAAACGCTCTCTTACACTTCTCTCTCACTCTCATTTTCAAACTCTAAGTTTTTCTATCAAATCCCCTTCTCATTTCCTCACTAACTAATTCTCTTTCTTCCTCATTCTCTAATTAATTTCTTCCCCTCACTCCATCAACCCACTCCATTATCAGCGTCGTGACCCGACGACCATGCACCGTCATCGTCACCCCCTCTCCACATTCGCCATCGTCGCTCCCTATCCATGTTTGTTGTCATCATTACATGATCTCCAAATTTTTAGAGTTGGCTAGATTTAGTTTTCTTTTGTATTTTAATATTTTGTATAATTCTATATATTTATTTTTCCTTGTATTTAAGTATTTTTTTTGTTAGTTAGATTTGTGTTATTTGTATATTAGTGATAAATATTATGACCAAAAGGATTTGTAGTATTTTTTATACATTGCTATTTTTGTTGTTTGATGAAATATGAGCGTTTTTTTATTCTAATTTGTAAATAATATGTGAAGATATTATTGTTTAAAAAAAGAAATAAATTTTGGGTAATTTTTTATTTTTTTAAAAACTTTTAACGACGGTTTCTATAGAAACAGTCATTAAAAGCGCCATATTTAACAACAATTTTTACGGAAACCGTTGTTTAATGTGTTTTCTCTTAACTTTCACGTACATATTAGATGACGGTTAATGACTTTAGATAAGATGACGGGCCGTCTTATGTTTTAACGACAATTATTAACCATTGTCTTATCTACTCGCTCTACTAGTGCTTATTCCAAGCATTATTAGTGCGTCTAACAAATTTTCTCATAATGAAAATATTCTCCTCTCACCCCATAAGTGACGCATCTCATAATGAAAATATTCTCCTCACAAATTTTCACCATCAACATCCTTTAATATAAAAAAATTTAATTAAAAAATTAAATATTTGATGAAAAAATAAAAGGTCATTTTTTCCAAAACTAAAAGGAATTAATCGCTTCTATCTTGTAGATCCTTATTCCAGTCGAATGGCTTTTTTAGATGCGGATAAAAACCTATGGTAATGATCGAATGGCTATTTTAGTTGCTCCACCATAAAGGCTCCCTTATTTTTATGTTTTTATTTATTTTTAACCAAACGTTAATTAAGAAATCGATGGAGGACTTAAGTAAAGGAACTCGCAACTACATTGGCAAGGCCACAATGGTTGGCTCCCAACATCTCCACAAAGTTCATTTAATAGATTTATTTACGAAGGATATGATTATTAATGATTCTAAACAAAATTGATTTATAGCTAGTGGCATGGATTACTTTCATTCAAAGCTAAATAAGCAAGAGTGCGTATTTTTTATCCTCTACTCAGTAACAAACAGTTTTCTTTCAAAACCCTTTTTTTTCTCTCTTAATTTATTGCATCTCCTTTCATTTGAAAGCATGTTAGATAATTTTTTTTATTTGTTTTTTATATGGTGTGGGGTTTATGGTTCCCATTTTATTAATTAACAAGAAATAAGACTATCAAAATTTAAATTTGACGTTTGGTTGGAGGATTCAAATCATGTGATTCGAACCATTTTCGATTTACGTGAATTTTTTGTGAGAGAAAATACTGTAACGAACCATGAATCATGATTCGAATCAGGGAACAAATCCCTCTACATTCACGTACCCTACCACTCGAGTTAACCTCAAGTGGCAACATGTTAGCCGACATTTTTTTTTTTTTTTGGCTAAGAGCATGTTAGCTAACTTACTCGTTCTACAGGTGGCATTACTAGAAGAGATTCGTTAGGCTAGCCATAATTTCAACAATAAGAACTTTTTTTTGGAATCCAAGTACTTTGCCCCACTACTCATCCTTGTTCTTTAAATCTCAGCAGCTAATTTTCTAATTAAATTAACCAAGAAACAATTAATGCATCAACCCCATATTCGTATTTAGAACTATAAACCCACAATTAAAGAACGCCAAAAGCATCAAACCATGTATTAAGTATTCGCTAGTCACATGAGCTCAATGAGAACCTCTTTAACTAAATCTTCAAAGCTGGTCCATATGATTGCATCACAAGAAATCAAGTAAAGGGGTGACCCCATAACTATTTTGCTAAACAAAAACAACCCCATAAAGTTTCTCAACTAACTTTCATAATCCCCTTTTCAACTCACAAAAGCTAATCTTTGTTAAAATATTTAAACTAGTTTTGTCAAGTTAATCAAGCGTTTGGGTTTATTATAACAAAAGCCTACTCTACCCTAATGATACATGTCTAGTTCCTTTTTCATCAATATTGCTCACATCAATCATGCATGTCTACTTCCTTTATATCAATGTTGGCCCAATTGTGCATGCTTGGTTTTTTTTTTTTTTTTTTTTTTTTTTTTTTTTTTTTTTTTTTTTGCTGAATGTGCATGCTTCGTTATAATGTCTCCTCTTCCTTTTTATGGTTAGGCCTGTTATTAATGTGGTGGCCCTAGACAGCTCTAGCAAAATAATCTCCCTTTCATTTCCTCATCTGAAAGAGCTTCATACTTACCCTCAACTCATGGTTTTCATTTAAAGGTACAAAAGAGAAAAGGCCCCTCTTCACTCCCTTTTATGATTTTATCCCCATGAGCCTATATGCTTGTATAGTGGTTAGCATGTGTTCTCTCTCATTGGATGGATCTTAGAGAAACTGATCCTCTCCACAATCAAAATCTTAATTTTGAATTAAAAATAAAAACATATACTATTTAATGGGCCCTATTTTTTATTATCTAAATCTAATACAAACTTTCCAACTGTAATATCTGATCTGGCCAAACTTTTCTTTAATTAGAGGAAATTTATCGATGTGTATATATATATATATATATATGTATATATATATATATGGGAAAGCGATATGCATATATAAGCTGCATTTATAAGGCAAAATTCTCTCCAGCCCTAAACTTCATATATAACACATCATGATCACATACTTGATCGTGTAATATATATATCTTTTAGCTGCGAGAAGAACCAAAACCAACGGACAAGTTTTTAGAGAGAGGACTTTGTTCCCCTATTGCCAACTTGATTGAAACCCAACAACCACATTTTTTTTAATACAATTATCTGGGGTTATATGTACGTACCATATGCTTGAAATTATTATTATTTTTATTATGATATTGATAGTGTTTTTTCATACATAGAAAGAGTTATATATATATGTGTGTGTGTGTGTTGAACACTTGAATAGCTATTCTTGTTGTGTTTAACTCACTGTCGTTTTTTCGCTTTTAGATATAGTTATCGTACTTTGCATGGATTCGAATTTCAATCCAAGCCCTTCGGAGGCACATCCCGAGACAATGGATTTTCTATCCCATGCATGGTGTAACTTTGCAGTACAAGCTCTTCAACCGGATCATGATCATCATCATCAGCTACAAGACCAATCAATGGCTCTACTTGACAATCCCATGATTATTAAGAAGATTGAAAGCAATAGTGATCCTTATATGGTGAACAATTTTGGGATTGCAATTCCATGATTTTGTTCACTATAGAAAGGTTTTCTTTCTTCCTTTTTTGTTTTGGCTGAAGTAAAGATTTTGTGACTATTTGCAGAGGTTGGAAAAGGCGGCCGGCGTGAAGATGGATGATGCGGATGCCAAACCTCTTCCGCCGTGGAAATCAAATGATGTTAAGGTATCCAAAAAGACTTGTTAAACTATGGGTTGTTTAGAAACTATACTCAAACTCAAATCATGATTCTATTACTGTGTTTTCTATCTAATAAAGAGTTTGAATTTTAAAATTTCATCTCACACAGTTTCTGTTAATAAATTCAAATCATAATTTGAGTATACCTTCCAAACGGACCCTAAAAACCAGGATATATTATGCAATTCAAATTTCAATCACTGGATGACGAAAAAAAAAAATCTTTTAGTAGATGAAAAAAGTTGTCGGTTAAAAATTGAAAATTTTTTACGGTTTGGAACTATTTTGTTTTTTAAAATCATTCAACGGCTGACATTGGATTGCAAAGTGCACGAAAAAAGAAAGAGAGATGTAGCGTAACTCAACTCAAAAAGATATATGCACCTCTAGCTCATCAACCAGAATTATGACTACTATATATCTTCTACGTAATTTCTTTTTGTTTTCAATCATTTTCAGTCATGGATATGGATGCAACAAGCAATGCATCCGGAATTGAACTACAATGCCTATTTCAAAAAGAGATGGGTAAGTACACTTTACATTTCAGCGATTTAATTCCCTTTTAATAATGAACCAAAAAAAAAAAGCCATATACCTTACAAAGTAAGGCCTAAACTTGTTTTTCACCGTTAATAATGAAAGGAGTTGTTACTTCAATTTCATATGCAGATGTCATGGAAGATAGTGCCATTTAAGAATGTCTCCATCAAAAAATGGTTCAAAGAGATAAAGCTGCGCCGTAAAGAGCAAGATAGGCTGCAGAAAGCCGAGGTGCACGCAGCAATATCGGTGGCAGGCGTGGCGGCAGCTCTGGCGGCCATGGCGGCCGAGAACTCAAAGAAGGACTCGAGCACCGCCAAGGAGGCGGCGGTGGCCACTGCAGCCGCTTTGGTTGCGAGCCAATGCGCCAAAGTGGCAGAAGCAATGGGTGCAAAAAGGGAGCAGCTCAGCTGTGCCATTAGTTCAGCCATGAGCGGAACATCGGCCACTGATATCTTCACTCTCGCTGCTGCTGCTAAAACATGTAATCTATCATCCTTGTTCTGCTTTAATACCTCTTTTTCTTTTTTTTTTCTCTTTTTCTTTTCCACAAAAAGTCACCTTGTAAATGACAACGAAGCATAGTGAGCCAAAGAAAATTAGATATGCCTCAATTTAACTAATTAGCTAGTGAAATGTATAAAACCGAATTTTTGATTAGTAGTTAAAATCAGTATAATATGTAACAGATATGATGTTCTAGGTGTAAAACTGTTTAAACAAAATGCAGAATAGAATTCTACTTACATTACTGCTTCATACTATCATTAGATTTTAACCAATTATGAATTTACACCGTTAACTCTAAAATTATAGCACAAGGGCTTTATAGTTTTGCATGTAAAATTTTTACCAGGCAAAGCCAGTGCTGCTGATGATTATTATAGCCTTTGATATGCATAGCAATTTTCTTTATTTTTTCAACTTGTATGTCTGAGTTAACTGTACTCTAGGTAAGCTTGTGTTATTTTGGACTAAGATTTGAACATTGAAGGTAGTAATTAGTTGAACCTAAACCCCACAAACCAAAAGGATTAGTATATATATTTTTATTGTTTTCTTTATATGTATACAGATATATATATGTATATATATATATTTCTAGCCAGAAACTTTGTATCTTGATTTTGATCAAAGTATACAGTTAAAGGGCAAACCACTTTCTCTACACACATGTTAGGATCCTAGTTGAATCTCACATTATTAAAGTATGGGCTTAGCATGTAGGTTTATAACCATTTGGGCACCCTCTTCCTATAAGCTAGCTTTTGGGGATGAGTTCTATTCAAGGGTTATAACAACACAACTCAAGCATTGCGGCCTAGAAATTTGTGCCCAATTTTACATACTCCCTTGAAGAATCCTTAAAGTTGGTGTATCTTGATTTTGATCAATGTATACAGTTAAAGGGCAAACCACTTTCTCTACACACATGTTAGGATCCTAGTTGAATCCCACATTATTAAAATATGGACTTAACATGTAGGTTTATAACTATTTGGACACCCTCTTTCTATAAGCTAGCTTTTGGGGATGAGTTCTATCCAAGGGTTATAACAACACAACTCAAGCATTGCGGCCTAGAAATTTGTGCCCAATTTTACATACTCCCTTGAAGAATCCTTAAAGTTGGTTTCATCATAAAAATCCAGCTTCGAAAAAATATTGCTCTTCTTTTAACTTTTTTTTTTTTATATTGAAGCATTAAAAGGAGCTGCTACACTAAAAGCAAGATCAGGATGCAAAAACAGAATTAACGGGATTGCACCCGTTTTGCCAATTGAGGAGAACCATGAGATTGATTTCGACTTGGAAACTTACAAATCAGCACTTGCTAAGGGTAGTGAGCTTGGTATTGAAACCCCAGATGGTAACTAAAATATGGAATCACTTAAGTCTCAACCCTTAATTAATCACTTATATTTTGTTATGTTTCTTTGGTTGTTCATTTAATATTGAGTTGAAAATATCTGTCCATTTTGCTAATTTGAGTTATATGTAGTTTTGTTATGTTTCCTTGGATGTTCTTTGAATATTGAGTTGAAAATATCTGTCCATTTTGCTAATTTGAGTTATATGTAACAGGGGACTACCTTAGAAGATCAGCATCAGTAATTCTGAGCGGTGAAGGCAAGGTCTGAGTTCCATAAATGAACTATACGACCATACGAATTCACAATTTTTCATACTCTAAACTTACAACATTAATCTAAATTCTATTACATGCTTAGTTTATTTAGAATTTTAAAAAAAAAAAAGACACAAATACATAAATATAGGTAAAAGACTGTTGCACTAATTTTAGTTTAAAATTTTGGTTTAATTCTCGCGCCCTCACAAAAACAAAAAAAAAAAAAAAAAAAAAAAAAATTTAAAAATTTCTGGCTCGGCCATTGTGATTCATGTAGGCTTCTCAGCAACCAAGCAGTTGGAAAAGAAACAGAGCTGAAATGGGGACACTATGTTGCGAGGGTACTTAGCTTTTGGCTGACATAACTTCTTGTCTTAACTTTTACAGGTAGTTCTACAGATAAGGAAGCACGGTCTATTGAAGAAAAAGAAAGAAAGTGAGTAGATTTATTTTTGTTCTCCTCTTCTACATAATACTACTACTTGGTTTATAATATTGAGCAAAAGATTCCTTTCAGATTAACTAAAGAACTAAAAGGTCCTTCTATGATATCTTCACGGCACCATGTTGATCCACAAATTTATCATAACTTTTATTTAAACATTCAAAGTTCGCAAATACGTCACTTAAATATATAGGTTTTTATAATTCTTTAAAATTCACTAGTCTATCATAACTCGTAAACTTAAACGTTCTAAGTTTGCAGTTCCATGTACATATTATCGTATTTTCAGCATGGTGCTTTGAATTCTTCTCACTGCATCATAAAAGTTCCTGAACGAAAGTATTAAGTTTTTTTTGTTCAGGTATCATACTGGACTTGCATGCTGAACTTTACAAGGATTCAGAAGCTGAAGAAGTCACTGAGACATGTTATCTGATTGTATTGACTACAAGCAGAGGAATATTCAAGCTAGATATGGGGGATGATTATCAACGTTACAAGACATGGGCAACAACTATTAATCATATGCTGTTACTCTCTTCTTCTGTCACAAAATACAAACACTTCTATGAGAAGAACTAGTACACATTCCTCTTGTTTTGACAGAACTTTGTCTAGTTGCAATGTCAAAATTGTACTTTGGTTTGTGTAGTTATCATAAATTTAATGACAGTTTGTGCCTAAATGCGTGACCAATTTGTTTGTATATTTTTATTACTAGTTAGTAATTTTATATGATGAATGGTAACTATAGGAAAGGTTTATCAACTGCCCTGCTTTCACCAGAGTGAACTTGGCCCTACATTGCTAATGACAATATGAAACAAAAGCATCATATACACTTGGATATCATATAGGACCCCAAGGAGTTGCGTCAATGGTGAATCACTTGAGACTTGGTGGCTCGAGAAGCATTAGGTCTAAAGTTCAATTTCCATTGAGTAGTATCAATTCCTTGGGGGGCACCGCCTGAGGGCCAAAAGGCCTAGATTTACCCGATTTATGTAGAGGGGGCGCTTTACATGGATCTCGTGGATTAGTCGGGACAAAGTCTCGGACACCACGGTTATTTATGAAAAAAAAAAAAAAAAAGAACACAAAACAAAAACAAAAACAAAAAACACTTGGATACCATATAGAAGCCAATATAACAACTTTGCAACATGAGTTTCAAATCAATAACAATTTTCCTTGAGGGCATAATTTGATAAGTGATACTGAGCAGGGAACATAGCTTTAGAAAAGGTTTCATGAACAATGAAAATTACTCTTAGCGAAAGAAACAGAGAAGGGCACAGGGCTTAAGTTAATCAAAGATGCAAAAGACGAGAAGAAAGATGGACAATGTTTTGCTCTACATACTAGAAACTGTCTGCCTATTCAAAAAATGCATCTCATAATCTAAAAGATTTTCTCCTCACTTGACACAGTACAGGAATTACTTTACGGTCCATGGATGAACTTTAAAAATCTCAATGGGCAATGTCCATGATAAGCCTCCTTTGCGTTTTACCTACGTGCGGAGGAAGACTCGGGAGAGGAGAGTGGCTGGTGCAGGGAATGGCAGTGGAGACATGAGTCTGGGAGGTATTTCTGGACAGGGTGATGAGTTGGCAGGGCAGGGAGATGAGCTAGCAAGTCATGAGTGACCTGGCAAGTCAGGAGGCGGTTATGTAGGAGATAGTTAGTAATTAGTTGGTTAGGCTGTAGAGTTAGGGGGGGAAGTTAGTTACGGGAATAAGAATTGTATAAATAGTAGGGAAGGGGATTCATTGAGGATTATCTTGAATTTCTGAGACAAGTTAGAATTGGGAGTGCACGGGGTCACTCGAACACCCCCACACCTAGGTCACCGATTTGTATTCTTCTGCCATTAATTCAGTTTCCGGGCTCGCATTTTGGCTCATTGTGCATAATTCAAGTAATTGATTGTCCTAAATTGTTTAGATTCTTTACGTGCTTATCAATTGGTATCAGAGCACTTTCCCGAGATGACGAGGAGGACAGATGATCGTGACAAAGATAGGGCGGAGGCAAGTAGGGAGGATTTGTTGAAAGAAATGGAATCGATGCGCGAGGATGTTGGAAAAATACCTCGATTGGAGCAAGGTCTGGAATTGCTGTTGACGAGGATGGACGAGTTGCTGAAGCAGCGGAATTTTGCAGATCGAGAGTCGCCGGAGGCGGAAAACGGGATTCCGGTTGAGCAATCGGCTCCGACAGCGGAAACAGGAGAGAGACCGGCGGATTGGCGGGAGGGAGGAGCTCGCGCCGAATTTCGGACCCGAGGGGTGGAGATGCCGGTTTTCGACGGCGATAATCCAGATGGCTGAATTTTTAGGGCAGAGAGATTTTTCTCCATGAATAGGTTGTCAGAGATGGAGAAACTGGACGTGGCGGTGGTGAGCCTCGAAGGAGAAGCCCTAGCTTGGTTCCAGTGGGAAGACCGGAGGCGGGCGATCCGTGATTGGACAGAGATGAAGCAAATGGTTCTGGAACAATTCCGTTCGACACAAGAAGGAGCCCTCTGTGAGAAGTTTCTATCGTTGCACCAGGAAACCACAGTGAGGGAGTACCGCCGGCAGTTTGAGACCTTGGCCGCGCCGTTAACGGAGGTTTCAGAGCAAGTGTTAGAGAGTGCATTCGTGAATGGACTCAAGCCAGAGGTGAGAGCTGAGATACGTATGCTGAAACCCAACAGTTTGGGCCGTATCATGGAGCTCGCCCAACGGGTGAAGGAGCGTAATCTGCTGGTTCGCAGGCCCAAGGCCCAAACAACTCCAGTTAATTCCTGGTCTAAAGGAGGCTCGGCTATGTCTGGGTTTGGGCTGAGGAGTAGTCAATCGTTCGGTGGAGGACCAAGGAATACTACTTCAGCTGTGGCCGTGGGACGCTCGTCAGTGGCGACTGAAAAGCCCAAGGATGCGGCCATCGGGACGGCGCCGTTCCGGAGACTTACCGATGCAGAGCTTCAAGCGAAGAGGGAAAAGGGGACACCGATGCCCCAACCGAGAGTTGCAGGTGCTCATCGTCCGGGAAGAGGAGGAAGGTGCAGGGGAGAAAGAAGACGGAGCTGAGACGGAGGTGGAGGAGGAAGTGGTCGAGCTATCCCTCAATTCAGTGGTCGGCTTAACATCACTGAAAACCATGAAACTCAAGGGGATTTTGCGTGGATGAGAGGTAATGGTTTTGATTGATAGTGGTGCCACGCATAATTTCATTTCTGTTGATTTAGTGAGGAAATTGGAATTGCCAGTGGACCGAACTTGTGATTATGGTGTGGTTATGGGGACTGGGTTATCTGTTAAGGGTGAGGGTGTGTGTAGAGGGGTCATGGTCACCTTGCAGGAACTAGAGGTTGTGGCGGATTTTTTGCCTTTGGAGTTGGGAAGCTCGGACATGATTCTGGGCATTCAGTGGCTAGAGACTTTGGGGGTTACGACGCTGAATTGGAAGAATTTGTCCATGAAGTTCACGGTGGGAAATCGACAGGTGACTTTGAAAGGGGACCCTGGTTTGAATAAGACTTCGGTGTCCTTAAAGGCTTTACATAGAGCGTTTAGTCAGGAGGGACAGGGGTTGTGGTTAGAATGGAATAATTTGGAGTTGAGTACTCGAGAAAGAGATTGGATGGTACCTGAGGAGTTGGAGGAGGTACTACACCGAAGATCTTCGGTGTTTGAGATGCCTACTGGGCTACCTCCGGAGCGTGCGAAGGATCATGCGATAGTGTTGAAGGCAGGGACCTCCCCGATTAATATACGGCCATATCGATATCCTCAGGTTCAGAAGGAGGAAATTGAGAAGTTGGTGGGAGAAATGTTGGCTGCAGGGATTATCCAGGCAAGTGTGAGTCCTTATTCTAGCCTCGTCCTCTTGGTTAAGAAGAAGGATGGAAGTTGGCGATTTTGTGTGGATTACAGGACTTTAAACAAGGAGACGGTTCCGGATCGTTTCCCTATTCCGATAATTGATGAACTCCTCGATGAGCTTCACGGGGCAGCAATCTTTTCTAAGATTGACCTAAAATCGGGATATCACCAAATCCGAGTCAAACCGGACGACGTGCCCAAAACTGCTTTTCGCACTCATGAGGGCCATTACGAGTTTTTGGTGATGCCATTCGGCCTTACCAATGCTCCGGCAACATTCCAGTCGCTCATGAATGAGGTGTTGCGAGTTTTCCTTCGAAAGTTTGTCTTGGTTTTCTTCGATGACATACTTGTCTACAGCCGGGAGGAGCATGTTCACCACTTGGATCAAGTGTTAGGGGTGTTGCAGCAGCACCAATTGTTTGCGAATGTGAAGAAGTGTAGTTTCGGCCAGCAGTCCTTGGAGTACTTGGGGCATATCGTTTCAGGCAGGGGCGTGTCAGCGGATCCGGCAAAAATTGAGGCAATGATGAATTGGCCAACCCCGACTACAGTACGTGATTTGCGGGGATTCTTGGGTTTGACGGGTTATTACCGTAAGTTTGTCGCAGGGTACAGTCACATTGCAGGGCCCCTAACAAATCTGTTGCGGAAGGATGGGTTTTCAGTGGACGGAAGAGGCTGCACTAGCTTTTTCTCGTTTGAAACACGCTATGACGTCCGTGCATGTTTTAGCTCTCCCTGATTTCTCGAAACCATTCGTGCTGGAAGCTGATGCTTCGGGGTATGGAGTGGGGGCAGTGTTGATGCAGAACCAGCGGCCTATTGCATATTTTAGCCAGGCTCTATCTCTGCGGGCTCAAGGGAAATCAGTGTATGAAAGAGAACTTATGGCCATTGTGTTGGCGGTGCAAAAGTGGCGTCCTTATTTGCTCGGCCGTCATTTTGTGATCCGTACTGACCAACGAAGTCTTAAGTACTTGCTGGAACAACGCCTTGTTAGTGTGGAGCACCAAAAGTGGCTTACAAAGTTGATGGGGTATGATTTCGAAATTCAGTTCAAGCCCGGGCAGGAAAATCGCGCTGCGGATGCGCTATCTCGGATTGTTTACTCGCCCGGACTAAGTGCACTATTGGTCTCTTCCATTGTGGATACACAAGAGTTGCAGCGCTGGGTGTTGCAGGACGAGAAGCTCAGCCAAATTATTTTAGCTTTACAACTCCAGTCCGACGTGTACCCTGGATTTTCCTTTGAGCAGGGGCAGCTGATGTTTGAGGGCAGAATGGTGGTTCCCCAGGGTTCGCCTTTCATTCCTAAACTACTTCATTCGTACCATGATGGGGTTCTTGGAGGCCATTCGGGAGTTCTTAAGACTTACCGACGCTTGGCAGCGGACTGGTTTTGGTCCGGGATGAAAAAGGATGTGATTTCATATGTGGTTGCATGTGACCTAGTGGCCTATTACAACCTCTGCCCATTCCCGAACGAGTGTGGGAGGATATTTCAATGAATTTTATAGAGGGATTGCCTCATTCGGAGGGATACGATACTATTTTGGTGGTTGTGGACACGCTTAGCAAATATGGACATTTCATTGCCTTGAAACATCCGTTTACAGCGGAGTCGGTAGCTAAGAGTTTCATACGAGAGGTTGTGCACCTCCATGGAGTTCCACGAACAATTGTGTCCGACCATGACCGGATATTTCTGAGTCACTTTTGGACCGAACTTCACAAGCAAATGGGGACTACTCTCGCGCGCAGCACCGCTTACCATCCGCAGACGGATGGTCAAACGAAGGTCGTGAATAGGTGTGTCGAAACCTATTTGCGCTGTTTTACATCGGAAAGACCAGGCAAATGGCATAAGTGGTTGGCTTGGTCGGAATATTGGTATAATACCTCGTTTCATACGGCAGCGCGTACTACTCCGTTTCAGGTTGTCTACGGCCGTGCTCCACCTCCGTTGTTGCGCTATGGTGTTGGCACATCCCTGGTGGATTCTGTGGATCGGCAATTACAAGACAGGGATGCCATGTTGGACTTACTCAAGTCTCATTTGCTTCGTGCTCAGCAGCAAATGAAATCAGTGGCTGATGGAAAACGCCGTGATGTGCAGTTTGAGGTTGGAGATCTAGTGTACCTTAAGTTGCGCCCCTACCGGCAGGTGTCTTTGGCTCGACGCCGCAATGAGAAGTTAAGTCCGCGGTTCTATGGTCCTTTTCCGATCGCTGCCCGTGTTGGACCTGTGGCTTACTGACTTTGCTTGCCGGAAGAGGTGGCCATTCATCCGGTATTTCATGTTTCCAAGCTTCGCCGCGCGATTGGCAGTGGCCAGGTTGCGTCTACGATTCTACCACAGTTGACGGGAAATTTGGAGTTGTGTGGCACGCCAACAGCTATACTGGGAGTGCGCCAGCGTGTGGTAGGGGGGCATTCCGAGTCTGAGGTTTTAATCCAATGGGAGCATCTCCCGGCGCATGATGCGACCTGGGAATCCTATGGGGCCATCGAACGCCAGTTCCCTGATTTCCACTTTGAGGACAAGGTGCGTCTTTGGGGCGGGAGTAATGATAAGCCTCCTTTGCGTTTTACCTACGTGCAGAGGAAGACTCGGGAGAGGAGAGTGGCTGGTGCAGGGAATGGCAGTGGAGAAATGAGTCTGAGAGGTATTTCTAGACAGGGTGATGAGTTGGCAAGGCAGGGAAATGAGTTGGCAAGTCATGAGTGAGCTGGCGAGTCAGGAGGCGGTTATGTAGGAGATAGTCAGTAATTAGTTGGTTAGGCTGTAGAGTTAGGGGGGGAAGTTAGTTACAGGAATAAGAATTGTATAAATAGTAGGGAAGGGGATTCATTGAGGATTATCTTGAATTTCTTAGACAAGTTAGAATTGGGAGTGCACGGGGTCACTCGAACACCCCCATACCTAGGTCACCGATTTGTATTCTTCTGCCATTAATTCAGTTTCCGGGCTCGCATTTTGGCTCATTGTGCATAATTCAAGTAATTGATTGTCCTGAATTGTTTAGATTCTTTACGTGCTTATCAGTCCATTTCTATAAGGATATTACTGTTTAGTGCTTAGTTTTTTTCTCTTTAATTTATCAACAAGCAATATAGTCAGGCAAACAATAAAAAGAAACTGTATACAATACCACAAAACAACATTTATCTTAAAATTAGTGATAGTCAACTGTATAGTTACTCTTTAACTGTTAGGGATTAAGTATCAAAAATTTTTGTTACAACAAATGGCAAAAAAAATAAAATAAAATAAAATTTAAACAAAGACTACAATTCAGTAATTTATTAAAAAAAAAAAAAAACTGAAGCGCGACAGTTAAAATTAAAACACCACCTAGAATGAAGATGATCACTGGCCAGTCAGAGCATACATAGCAACTGATGCTTGAAGGTCACGATCCACTTTGAAGTGAGCATGGAAAAACCTTTTTTCCTGTTATCACTCACCAAAATCAAGCCACATGAATAAAAATTGCTGGTAGTGAAAGTAACAGACTATTAACTGGCAGTAATAATAGGTGTAATGACGAAAAAGGCCCCAGCATATACCTCTCTGTAAGAATGTGTCTCTAAGAAATCCTTCAATAGTTTTTCTTCGGACTCGAATAATACAATATGACTAGGTATTGACCAATTTTTTGCATACTCAGATGCAAAACCAACAGGGTCCATCATGAAACGGTCGGATTCATCAATGACTCCTTTATCCTCACTATTAACAAAATGCCAAAGAGAAAAATAGGATCTAAAATTAACTACATATTGTGGAGGGAAAAGTAGCTCACACAGATCTTGGAGTTCAAACCTCGGAGAGCAGTCTAGAAAACGCATTGGGATGTCACGGTGCAGGGTGGAGTAGTATGGTGTGGCATGACAGGGCATTAAGAAAAGGATACTTTTCACTTTTCCGTAGAGCACTTCTTTGGATAGATGGTTCATTACATCCTCAGATCCTCTCTGTCTAACATGGTAATATGTTCAGAGATGAAGAAAACATAAGCAGAAGGCAGTTTTAACGTGAGTACTTTTGTAAAAAAGCATTTATTACTTGGCTTTAAGCATGTAGACCAGTAAAAGATTTTAAAAAACAAATACAAGAATATATAAAGATATAATCTCTTCTCTTTGAAATTGATGATTAAACATTACACATGCAACTTCAATTTATACATATTGTTTAAAAGGGGAATGCAAAATTACAAAGATGTGTTTACTGAATATCAAAATAAGGTACCTGATGGATCAAATTCATATACAAGGCCATTGGAATATTTGTAGCTAGCAAAAATAAGACCGGTAATCGCAATTTTGGAGGCCATTTTCCAGAAACACTTGAAGATTCCTTCCTTTTGCCATTTGGAGAATTTCGTATGCTTATTGCAGCTAATGAATATCCAGAGAACATTAAAGCTATAGGAAGCACAGGCAGCACAAATCTGTGAGCGGAATCAAATTAGAGTGGGAATTATGAACAAAAAGTTGAATACATATTTTCTTCGGTGAATAAATGGATAAGACAAGAAACTATAAGGTCAAGGTACCTGAATTCTTTGTGACCTAGCAAACTGTAAAGTCCTAAAACCCATGCTATAAGACCAGAAAGCTTCCATTGTTTGGACTGCATAATACCAGCTATAGAAAATGGTAAGAAACTGAACAGCATGACGATAAATCCTTGACTGAAGTACCAATGCCACTTGTGAGTTCCATAATAATCTCCACCAGAGGAAAGAAAATTGAATTTGAGAAAATTATGAGGTACTAGTATCCACGAGCCATACATCAAACGATCAAAAACCCACGTAAGCCCAAGCACCAGGACCCTGACTCCATACACAGAGTAGAGATTAAAAAAAAATATTAATATATCTCCAAAATAAAATGAAGATTTTCACAATCTCAAGAATTTAATGAAAATAGTGAAAACTGAATATATAGACTAGCAAAAGAAGGATCTATACCTACCCAATAGGAGCCACGTCTAGAAAAATGAATTTGAGCCTCTCTTGTGTCAGGAATAGCTCAAGAAGACCAATGTACAGCCATATGATGGCACTTGTTGGTCTTATGGCACAAGCTAATGCTGCTATAGCCAAACCAAACTTCCTTGACATTGAGGTAAGTTTTTTGGGCGACGATTGCAAACAAGGCCAATAGTATAGGCTAACAAGGGTAAGAACAGTCTCCATAGAATTTGATAAAGTACGAGTGGTACAGAAAAACATGAACCAATTTGTCAACTGTGAAAAGAGCTATAAGAGAGTTAAGCAAAATTGTTCTTTATAAAAAGAACGAGTTAACACGAGAATTCAATAAACACAAGGAACCAGACATAAATATATACATATGTAAATACATATACACACACCATTAAAATCCAAAGATGAGCTAGTAATATATGAAGGATACAGCCCATTTCGCGACACGATTACCAAATAGCAGAACAGATAATTTGTACAAGTACAAATCACCAACTGCAGAAAACAAAGATTGAAATAACCGTGGAGCCTTTATCTACAAAACAGAGTGAATCATATAATTAAAACCTCAAAAGATAAAAGATCACATGCTACTTCTGCACATCTGAAGCTTGATATCCTTATATAGGCAATTTACGCGAGGTAACAAAATCTTTCAAAGGTAAGAACAATTTCCAGAATAACAAGTAACATTAGTGCATCCAATGGATCCATGAAATAAGTTACATAACGAATATTAAGTACACAAGCCCATTTCAGATGGAAGTGTATGATTACTATAGAAAAGTTGTTGCAAGAGATTTTGATAAGCACCCAAGTCACATAGAATTCATTGTGTATACAAGCTATATTTAAAATATCATGACTAGGTAAAGAGCTTACAAAGCTAAGCAACTGTAAAGAAGATATCCCTTACCATGAACCAGGGAATATCAAGACCCAGAAAGGCCAGAACTTTGTAAAGCAAAGCAAATAGTAAAGGATGCGAGTAGCTTCGAATTCCCTTCTTCCATTCCCACGTCAAATGACCATATCTGAAAAAGCATAATAACAAAAATAGTCAAAAATTCAAAAACCCCATTTCTGAATAATTTTTCCTTTGCATTCTGAGAGCGCCCAAATTCGAAAAATACCCGAAAGCGATGCGATGAGCGACTTCAAGGGCTTGCCAGTGCTCATCTGGGTTGAAATAGGTCTGAACCAACAGTGCATTTACAACTCGAAAAGCCAAGCAAAATGCAAACACTTTTCTGGGCGAGAACGAGTAATCAGAATTATGGGATTTCTCTGTTTGCTCTGAATCTGAAAGATCAGAGTTTTGGGTCAACGGAGACGAAACTTCAGCTCTGTGTCTCTGCCGCATTGGTTGATTGGTTGTTTACGAGTCTGATGGAGTTCTTTCGAAATGATCGTGCTTAATTCGCCTGGAAATTTCAGAAAAGATTCATTCGTTTGTTTTCTCTGAATCTATCTATAAACAAATTTCCAAAAAGCTTTCCATTTCGTTCTAGCTCGTTTTTTCCAAGGGATATTTACAAAGACAATACCGATAAAAATTTAGTAGCAGAACCGCCCCCACATTTCTCGTATCTTCATTGAAAAAAAAAATCAAAACGCAAGACAAGCAGGAAGAAAAATGGAGGAAATTTAAAGATAGTCCAAATTGAAAATTCCCCTCTAATGGGAGGGAAAAAAATACACACACACACACATAAATAACTAAACAAAGAAAAAGAAAAGAAAATTTCAAGAAATCAGCCATCCTTCATCGCATAAATTTTCGATCTTTCCATCATCAAAAAAAAAAAAAGTAATCCGAAATAATAACTGATTTCCAACCAAAGAGACCCCAAAGGATGAAGAAAAGCGTGAAAAAAGGAAGAAACCTTTTCCTAGACAGAAGGGGGCTTCGGCTCCCGAAAGCTGGAGCTGCGAAACGGAGAGGAACTGGAGCCAGATAGCTAGCGCGGACATTGATCTTGGTTTTTGTGGAGGGCACTTTTTAAATCTCGTTTATTTTACCGAAATTTTAATTTTATTATAATGAAAATTTTTTAAAAATAATTGTATCTAATTTTTTTATTATAATAAATTTTTACATAAAATTAAATTTTAACTTAAATTAAAAATATAAATTAACAAAAATTCATAAATATAAATACGTAGACACTGAGCTACTGATGTGGCAATTTACAAAAAGGAACCTCTAAATAGTGCTAGTACTTTATTTCTTACATGGGTGTATTAATAGGTCAAATTTTTTTAATTATTAAATTTATTTATTTTTTTATTTTTATATAATTTTATATAAATTTAATAATATGTTGACATATTAGAAAATGTCTTTTTTTTTTTAAATGTTACAACGTTTTGCTAAGATTTTATAAACTACATTTAATAGTTTTATTACTTATTAAAAGAGTTAAGTATCACTTTTGTCCTATTACGCAATTTAAAGAAGGGAATGTCCATGGTAGGGGGGTCTTCTTTTTACTACTGATGAGTGAGATCATAACAGTTGACATTAAATCTCAATGAGGTGTACACGGTCTCTTTTACACTGAATTCTAACTCAAATCTAACAAAAATAATTACAAAACAACTATATTATTTCAGTTTCTTGATTTAAATTGAGATGTAATTTTTTATAACTTTTGTATTATAACAGAAAAAATTTAATTTAATTTTTTATAAGAATTTATTATTATAACTGTAATCGAAAACTCGGAGAACTAAATGAAAGTGCACTTAATCTCGCCGACAATACACGTGCCGCCACCTGCATCACTTGTCGACGTCCATCGTTGACACCGCCAAGACCATCAAACTTACCGGCTACTGATGTCCAAAACCCCGCCACTCCCGTGGAAAAGTCGGCTCCAATCACTGCCACCCCACCAATCTGTTGGGAATAGTGTCCTAAAAGTATAAGATGTAATATGATATTTATTATTTAAATAATAAAAGAGTTTATTCATCATTTTATGTGCATATATTTATGAATATTTTATGAATATCAAATGAAAATTCTGTGATTATTTATGTAACCTTAAACATAGTATATAAGTCTTATATATGAGAGGATAGTGTTTGAGAATAATAATCAAAAATATTGTTCATAATGAATTTAATTAAAGTTCAGAATCTTTAATTAAAACATTATTAATACATGTCATTCCCATTTAGAATGGAACGGTGCTATCCGCACTGTTAATATGGTGAGATATTGAATGAGTGTATTTCGCATAATGAGATTGTGTGAAACAGGGACACAGACACAATATGAATTTCTAATAATTTTCGTTAAGCATAGAAATTCTAATTGAGTCTACCGATGGTCATATATAGAATGATCTTAATCATGAGTTCTTAACAAACTTCTATTTATAGATTTATGTCTTTTGATTTACTCGGTACGGATTCTGAGACACTGAATTCTATTCCTTGTATTTTGGAGACATGATGAAATAGGTAGTCAGGAATGTTATTATATGAGATGGAATCTATTCCTTCTTGAGAAAGAAATAGATAAATAATTCTCTTGAGTGCTGATTCGGTACTTGGATTAGTAAGAGCGCTCTGGTTCATGAATGTATTTTATGAATCACTATCCATTATAGAATCAATAGTACTCAAGGATGCAGATATAATTAGAGAGGTTAACGGATTCTACCTAACTCTAATTATGAATTATTTATGGAGGATTGAAATATATGCAATGGCTATATCAAATTGACACTTCATAGTTTAGAAGTAATTAATGTCTATAATTTCGAGAGT